ATTCTCAATAGAATCTGTGACCAGAAAGTTCCAGGCCAGATGTTGAGACATATTTTGACTGAAGTGTCTGAAGAAGTACCCCGAGACTGGCTATAAATGAGAAGCATGTGAAAGAAAACTAAAATCATCCAGTTAAGAATAAAGCAGACCAGGACTTCCCTGGTAGTCCAGTGGCTAAGACTCCTTGCTCCCAATGCAGGGGGCCCAGGTTTGATCCCTCGTCGGGGAACTAAATCCCACATGCCACAACTAAGAGATCTCATAACACAACTAAGCCTCAGTGCAGCCAAATACATTAAAAAAAAAAAAAAGAATGAAGCAGATCAAAGATTATCCCTACAAAGGTAAGAGTTTAGATTAATTCTATGAGGGAAGGAGCATAGGAAAAGAACAGCAAAAGGCCAGAACTATACTATGGTAGTTTTATGTGACTGAAGAGAAAGTAGAGCCAATTAGTGAAAGAGATGGAGAAAAACCAGGCAAACACAGAATCAACAGGAAGAGATGTTTATTTTGGGAACCAATTAAGTATAAACTAATAATTGAAAGGTCATAAGAAATGAGAGCTGAGAAAGTTTCCAGGGACATTAAAGCATTGTTGGTGGAGTGTGAAATAAACCATATCACAAGGAAGAGTAGCTTCCCTGGTGGCTCAGTGGTAAAGAATCTGCCTTCAATGCTGAGACCTGGTTCTGTCCCTGGGTTGGGAAGATCTCCTGGAGAAGGAAATGGCAACCCACTCCAGTGTTCCTGCCTGGAGAATCCCGTGGACAGAGGAGCCTGGTGGGCTACATTCCTGTGATCGAAAAGAGTCAGACACGACTTAGTGACTAACACTTTCACTTTCACAAGGAAGAATAAAGGGGGGAAAAAAGGATAAGTGAAGCAAATAAGGCAAAATGTTGATAACTTTTCAATCTGGAGAATTATACTGTTTTCCCACTTCCATGTATGTTTGAAACTTCTGTAATAAAAAAAAAATTAAATTTTTTTAAAAGCAAAAATACTTACTAGGATATATTTATTCCTGTGTTAGCCTTTATCACATGCATGCATGCTAAGTCACTTCAGTCATGTCCGACTCTTTGAGACCGCATGGACTGTAGCCTGCCAGGCTCCTCTGTCCATGGGATTCTCCAAGTAAGAACACTGGAGTGGGTTGCCATGCCCTCCTCCAGGGGATCTTCCTGACCCAGGGACTGAACTTGCATCTCCTGTGGCTTCTGCACTGAAGGCGGATTCTTTACCACTGAGCCACCAGTGAAGCCCAGCCTTTATCACAGTTTATTGTAATTGCCTGTTTACTTGTCTGTACCAGTGTTTCTCAAACTGTTGGTGTTGAAAGACCAGTTTTTTTTTGATTGGCCAGTCTGTCACAGACCATGATGTTTATCAAAATACAATAAAAATCAATTATCATAAGAGCAAAACTGGGGGGAAGGACATAGAAAATATCAGGCTTACCTGGTGGCTCCAATGGTAAAGAATCTGCCTGCAATGTGGGAGACCAAGATTTGATCCCTGGGTCGGTAAGATGCCCTGGAGAAGGGAATGGCAACCCACTCCAGTATTCTTGCCTGGAGAATCCCATGGACAGAGGAGCCTGGTGGGCTACAGTCCACGGGGTCACAAAGAGTCAGACATGACTGAGCTACTAACACTTTCACACATACAAAATATAGCCTTAAAAAGGCTTGTTGGGACTTCCTGGCAGTCCAGTAGCTCAGATTCCTTGTTCCCAGCTCAGGGGGCACAGGTTCAACCTCCGGTCAGGGAACGAGGTCTCACAGGCTGTAGCTAAAGATCTTGTATGCTGCTGCTGCTCAAAGACTGAAGATTGCGTGCGCCACAACTCAGACAGTGCACCCAAATAAATAAGTACTTTTTAAAGTTTTGTTATTAAAACCAAAAAACATAAAATTAACAATCAGAACAAATGTAAACCTGGGAAAGAATTTTTTAGAACTATCCCTTCATCAAAAATACATAGGCAATTCATATAGAGAATTCCTATTTCACTTATAAGTTTTTTCTGTAACCATAATTAAGTAGTTTTTTAATCTGAAATGCGTGCTTTTTGCATGTTATCTTTAGACCTTGTGGATTAATTTGAGTTGGATTGATAACAGTGCCCCTCATGAGGATGATAATTTGCAGTCACGGGTTTTTACCTTGGTCATTTTCTGATCTGTGGGGGTTAGTTCTGGGGGTTGTCTGCACTGCAGAAATCATAAAGAGTAGGGAAGAGCATAGATGTGCTGAAATACTTGCCGAGAGTTTTGCTTAAGAAGTGAAAATTCCACCTCTGTAAATGGTCTCTTACTCTCTGGAACATGAATGTTGTCATTTTTCTCACAGTGTTATAGGTTTATTGACATGTGATGACTGTAGCTTCAGATATACCCCCACTTTGTTTTACAGACAGTCCCTTCCTGCCAAGCTACAAAGCTTTTTAACCCCCTTGGCTATAGTAGTTCCAGTTTGGACTGATCACTTCAAAAAACCATCAGTTACTGTAGATTCTATTGTGCTTCCCAGGACTCATTTTGTAGGCAATAGCTTGGGTTATTTTTCTACATATATTTACATGTACTTATTCATATTGCATCTGTTAAGTTTCCCTGTGTTGTCAAAAATCTCAAAAAAATTTTTTCCCTTGATCCACATTGACTCAGAATTTTCAACAGGAAGAAATTCTGTCTGTTTGGAAAAGTCAGTCATTTTGTCTGTGGAAAGATTGTCTCATTTAGTGATACAGTTTAAGTAGCATTTATGTAAACTCTTAGGAAGGTTATAACTAACTAGTCAGAAGATAATCCCTTACATAAAACACACTGCATTCCCCTTGGGAATTTGCATTTGCCCTTTATTAACCCATGCCCCTGCTCATCCAGAGAAATGAGGCTCCAGTTTACTATTATGAATAGAAAGCACATTGTTCACTTGCCAAGGTATTTAGAGTCACTCTGATGATAGTTTGGACATTTTGGCTGAAAAGTCTACAGATTTGTTCTTAAGTGATCATTTTTCCCCTTTTACAAGTATAAATGGTTACTGTGTGCTCTATAAAGGCAAAGGGAAGTTGTGACACACTCATCTCAGCTTGTTTTAACAGTAGATATATAAAAATATATCACAATTCACTCACATTTAAAGCCTATAACATGTAGAATAGAGCATTCCTGCTCCATACTTTCATCATATTGTTTTTGGAATGTTTCATGATACCATCTGTATTAAGACCTTCGTCAGCTGTGTATTCAGTATTTCACCTCTGCTATTTTGTGCATAGTGCTATAAACAATGTGGGGAGTACAGAAGAGAATGATATGGGTCTATCTTCAAGAAGCTTAAATAAAGGGATCTTTTATTTTCTAACGCACAGAGTGTTTGGGCTGCATGTGTCTGCACATTAGATATTTATAATATACATACAGATAATTAAAGTACAAGACAGTGTGTTATAAGTGAGGAGGGATCTGGAGGAGAGAGATTAGTAGATACTACCTGAGAGACGAGGGACTCTTTCAGGGCAAGGTGGTGTTTTGACCAGGGTTTTGAAAGGATAGTTAGGACTTTAGCAGGAGTCTAGTAAAGACATTTGATACAGTTTGGTTTTTTTTTTAATGTTTTTCACAGGTTCTAGTCCCAGAGCAGCCATTCACTTACCAGTTGTCTGAATTCAGCCAGATTGCTCAGTGCCTTCAGGGTCCTCATCCACAGAGTGGGAATTAGAGGAATAGTTGTCATAGAGGACTGTTACGGGGATTAAGTGAGACACTGTGGTATGAACATGCTTGGTAAACTGTAAAGTGCTATACAAATGTTAGTGAATTTTACAGTAAATATTGAGGATAGCATTAGCCAAAAAGATTGAATTAGCGTAGAGCAGAAAATACGTGATGTTGACTGTGAATATTAATTCACTCATACAGTTCCTAACTTCAGAAAAAATCTTAAACTGAAAAGCCTTTCAGGTTTTATGTTGACCCCATTTTCCTCAAAAAATCATGTCAGAGGCCTTTCAGATCTTCAGGTGAAACTTGAATAAATTGTAATATTTAGTTTTATTGAATTCATATAGAATTAATTTTCAAATAAAATACTTTAATAGATATTATAATATTGCACAGAAAGAGCTAATGTATCTTGCAAAGTATACTTGTTTCGAGGACATGGTTTTGAGAACAAGTCTGCATGTTTTAGGGTAGATCAGAATTGCTCCCCTGAACAGGAGAACAAGGTGTGAATTATTTAAGCTACTTCCAGGGACTGTTGTATCTTCTGTTACAGGTGGTTTGTCCAATAACTTCACAAATGGTAGGAAGGATATCCCTTGTCTGATGAGAGGTCCGAGAATTTATTTATGTTCTTTGTTTTAAATAAATTTTATTTCTAAAAGATGGTTAGGAAAAGTATTCAAAATGTATTACAAAGAGCAGAGAGAATGTTGAGGCTTTAAAATGCATTTTTAAAAAATTGAAGTACAGTTTTTTAAATTTTTATTGGAGTATAGTTGATTTACAGTGTTATGTTACTGAAGTCTAGTTGATTTGCAATATTGTTAGTTTCAGGTGTACAACATATTGATTCCGTATTTTTACAGATTATACCCCTTTTAAAATTATCATAAAATATTGGCTGTATTTCCCTGTGCTGTACAATAAATATATCCTTGTTGCTTATTGGTTTTGTGCATATTAGTTTGTGCCTCTTAACCTAAAGAAGCTTTTTGAATTATACTGTGAATAATTGAATTATATTATGCCAATTGCTGATGTCTGGTCTTGGGCTCTGTCCACTTATCCAGACCCCAGTGAAATATGATTGGAGTTATTTTTCTCGGGACAAGGAACTTGGAAACTGTTTTACTTCAACCCTAACTCTCATTATTAAAAAAAGTTTTTGAGTGGGGGGGAATCCTGATATTAACAGTGGGTTTGGGGTTTGTTTTTTTTTTGGTGTGTGTGAGTAATTCTGAATTCTTTCTCCTTTTACAGACTACCTTGCTAACCATGGCCGGTTAAATGAGTCTGAAGCCAGGCGCAAATTCTGGCAAATCCTGTCTGCTGTTGATTACTGTCACGGTCGGCAGATTGTGCACCGTGACCTCAAGGCTGAAAATCTCCTGCTGGATAACAACATGAATATCAAAATAGCAGGTAACTGGGACGCTGCTGGCTCTGACGTGATCAAACATGAGCCACAGCACTCGGGGTGTGGAAACAGACCTGCAGGCAGTTTCAGGAGCACTCCTACCTAGGACATCCCACCCTCGCAGAGTGTATTTTATCTGTTTCCTTAGTCCTGCATGTAATGAAAAGTAAGGAAAAAGAAAAAAAAAAAAGAAAAGTAAGGGAAATTAGTTCAACACGCAGCATGGCAGGAGTGTTTGGAGGGGCCAAGGGGGCTGGAAGAGCAGCGAAGGTTACTGGCGCTCTGCCCTGCTCTCTTCACTATGACTGGTGGCTGCGGAGAGGTTGCGGACAGAAATAAGACAAAGGAGGTGACCGCAGGAGAATGAGAATACTGGGGACACAGAAGCACCTTGCCTTCTTCTGATACAACGGGGTTTTGATTTACAACATGGAGAGTAAGATGATTTTTGCTAGTTTTCCTCCTAACCCTTCCACAATTAACAAAGACTTTTATAGTTTATATTCCAAGTTTGCTTATTCACATGGTCAAAACTCTGATTCAGTCAATATTTATGTGTCAGGTACTGTGCTGTGCTAGGTACTAAGGATACAAATCTAAAAAGTCAGTTCTTGTGATCTTAAAAGTCTGGTGGGGAAATAAGAATAATGAAAATACAACATGGTAAGTGCCCCAAACTATATGTACAGACTGCAATAGAAGTATAGGTGTCAGAGAACATCAGTCTATCTGAGAAATCCAGAGGCTCACAAAGAAGGAACTACCTGAATTCAAGCTTGAGAGATGAGTCAGAAGCTTGCCAGGGAGATAAACAGAAGTGTAGGGTATTACAGACAGGCAGGCCAACTGTGTAAATATCACAGGTAAAAGAGAGAAAGAGATTGAGATGGAGATGGTGGGGAGTGATTGCTCACTATTAGGTAAATACAAGATCTGTAGGCATGGGAGATTGATACAGGAAGAGCAGGTAGGCAAGGATCAGAACATGAAAAGTCTTGAAGGCCATGAAAAAGACGGTAGAGTTTATTCTGTAGGTAGTGGGGAGCATGGCCTGTTGGAACTTTTAGGGTGGGGGTGGGGATGAAGCAGGACTGGATAAGATGATCAGATTTGCATGTTAGAAAGATGTCTCACCCTGGCCACAGAGTGGGGACAGGTGGCAGATGTGGGTGAGACTGGGCAGGAAGACTAATCGGGAATCTGCTGCGTTTGTCCTGTTAAGAAAACGTGGGTGTGCACTGGAGTAGCAGCAGCAGTCTGTAGGTGTAGGAAGGAGAGAGGTCTGTTCCAGTTAGAGTTTGGAAGAGTATCAAAGGCACAAGGCAAAAGTTTATCAAAGCTACAAGAGGTGGTGATTTGTCCTAGGTTTATTAAAAACGGACAGACATCCACACGTGAGAAGCTGAGCAAGAAGTAGATGACTAACTTGGGTGGGTACCCACTGGACTAAGTTTAGGGAGAAAGCAAATGCCTTAATTTGCTTCATCGTGGTATAAAATAGAAGTGAGAAGCCTCTGATTCATGCATTTAGCTGGCCTACTTCTATGCCATTTATGATCAGTTTTTGTCTTGGGCATTTAGGAAAGGCAAACAAATGAATTTCACTTACTTTTTTAACTTATTTTACTTTAATTTTAAAGTTAATATTAAATGCCACTGTTACGTATGTTTCAGGGAGTAATGGACTAGATTTTTCCTTCTGTAGTCTTTGTTTTTTTTTCCTCTAATAGAATTCCCTAAGTAAGACAGCGTTTTTACATTAATTTGCTACATTCCCATTATATAGATAAAGATTTGTATTGATTTGTCTTTTTGTTTTAAAAATGTAGTATTAGTGTTTATGTAATTTAAATGCAGTATTAGTGGTTCTGTAATTTATAATGTATATCCATTTCTCCCACTTTTCCTTTTTCTTTTGGCCCTTCCTTTGGCCCCATTCATTTCACTTCTTTTTGCAAACCTTCTGTAGTGCACGCCTCTGGGATTTTTTACTTCTCTTTGAAAGCTTCAGCTGCCCCAAAGTTGTCCTTGTCAGAGAAGGCACTTGTTTTTTAAGAGGATTGGGGGGCAGTTCTTTACTCTGTGAAAAATAATACCTTTATTAAAGGAGTTCTGGGAGTCATTTCAGGCAGAGAAAGAAATGTTAGAGGTGGGAGTCATATACTATAGGAATTACAAAGTGCTGTCACAAACATCTCAAAAGAAAATGGCAAAATGGAGCACCAAAGAAACTTGCAAATAGAATATGCAGAATATTCCATTAAGGTTATAACCAAGTTTTGCCTGGCTATAATACTGTCTTCTGTAATTCTGACCTGTAAGTAGATAAACTTCGTATTTCTGTCATTATGTGAAATCTAGTTATTTGTTTGTTTTTGCTATTTTTATTTTTGAATACTTGAACTTCAAAATCCTCTCATTTTTCTCTGGAAGACAGGTAAAATGTCAGAAACCTAAAGTTGTTCTTTCTGGTGAAGCTGGTGTAACAGCTAACATTTACTGAGCCTTCACTGTCTTCAGGCACTCTGCTATGTACTTGGGTCATTTAACCTTCACAGCAACCCTAGGAGCTGTGTACCTATTGCCAGTTTTTAGACAAAACGCTGAAACATGAAAGAGATTAAGTAACTTGCCAAGGTGACTCAGATAATAAGCAGCAGACCTGGAGTTCCAGCCTGGTCTCTGAACACAGTGTCTGTGCTTCTTGCAGTACACCAGCCTGTCGTTTCCAAGAGCCGTGTGTCAGTTATTCCCGAGGGAGCACTCACTGCCTGAATTTCGGGTTCTGTCATTCCGTAGTTACACATTCAGTGTCCTTGACTCTCTGTCTCATGAGTGAATACACACACACACACACGTGCATGCAGTTTAGCTAAGCGTTCAGATTTCCCTCCCGCCCACATTTTTTTTCTCTGTCACCCTCACCACATTGACCCCAAATTTCAGCAAATGTTTATTAAGCATCTACTATGCTCCTCCACTAAGTCCTGGAGATTCAGATGTTCCGAGGCAAAAACAACAGCAGTGCAAGAAAGCTCAACTGTGCTCTTACCTCACGGAGTTAACCTTTTCAGAACCAGACCTTTAAATGAATACAGCATAGAAAGATAATTGCCGTACAAGCCGAGCCGTGAGGCTAGAAGAAGATTGTGCCTGGAAGAATGAGGGAAGTCATTAGTAAGACTTTATTAAGGAGGGCGGCATTTGTGGGGGGCTTGGCAGGGAGAAGGAGAAGGGAAGAGACTTAGCTGAGGAGGTGAGGTGGGGATGGCCGCTTCAGGCAGAGGCAGGCAGGCCAGAGAACTCGGTGTGTAGGGAAACTGCAGACCAGAGCTAGTGGAGAGGAAGTGTTGGTGAGGAGTGATAGGAAAGGAGCCTGGACAGGTCGCCATGCGGGATCATGAAGGATTCCACACCCCCTCGGAAGTATAGATGTGTTCCAGTGCTGTTAAAGAATTCCTCCAGGGTATTTATTTTTATCCATCGATTTTTATCTAACTTTTTTATTGCTCTGCTTCCCTTTAAAAACATGTTCTGGTCTCTGAGGATTCTTCTTGAATTTTAAATAAATCTAACACATGTAGGAAAGATGGGGCTCCATGGAAAAATTACAGAACCTCAGAATAAAATACAAAAAAATTATTCCCTCAAATTATACATTCTGTGTTTATTCTGCTTATGAACATCTTTTGCTAAATGGGCTGAATAAGTGAAAGTGAAGTCGCTCAGTCATGTCCAACTGTTTGAGACCCTGTGGACTGTAGCCCGCCAGGCTCCTCTGTCCATGGAATTCCCCAGGCAAGAATACTGGAGTGGGTTGCCATTTCCTTCTCCAGGGGATCTTCCCAACCCAGGGATTGAACCCAGGTCTCCTGCATTGCAGGCAGACGCTTTATTCTCTGAGCCACGAAAATGGGCTGAATAAATGAACTGTTTTAGCCATCCTGTATGTTGAAATTGGAGCTTCCCAGGTGGCACTAATGATAAAGAATCTGCTTGTCAATGCAGGAGACACAGGAGATGCAGTTTCAATCCCTGGGTTGGAAAGATCCCCTGGTATAGGAAATGGCAACCCACTCCTGTATTCTTGCCTAGAAAATTCTATAGACAGAGAAGCCTGAGGGGTACAGTCCATGGGGTCACAGAGTTGGACATGCCTGAGCATGCATGCGTGTGCACACACACAGTGAAATTAAAGAGAGGTGTAAACCAAAACTAGGTTTAAATTAAAATATTTGCCTCTGTTTATAAGACAGAAAATGGAATGGAAGTCTCAAACATGCTTTATTTTAATAAATACAGAATCTTGGCTTTCAAACCAGATTCTCTTTTATGCTCCTCTCATGGGTACAAGACTTCAGGTACTGGTGAGCCGTGGGTTCACCCACACCTATGTATGCTCATTGCCTCAATTATGAGACCTCCAGCCTTCACAAAATATGTGTGTTGGGACATTCAGAATCAGAGGCAGAATGCAAAGAAATTTTGGCTTTCATTAGTTTTAATAATTGCAGTACTGTTTCCTCCATGCTATTTCGGCTATGACTCTGCAGGCGTTGAGAATAAATTGATGAGAAACACTTAGTTTTGTTTTTCAACTTTCCTAATCTGAAATGCTTACAATGAATACTTGGATAAGAATTAATATGTATGAATTACTCAGAGGAAGTTTTCAAAAAATATCAGAAGTCAGACAAGCCATCACATAAAGAATGTGGGGTTTGATATCAGACGGTACTGGTGCAAATTCTAGCTGTGCCATTTAGTAGCTGTGTGATCTTGGGCTGATTATTTAACTTCACCGAGCCTAGGTTTCCATATCTATTAAACAGAGATTAATCTGTTTGTTAGGAACACTGTAAGGATTAGTGATAATGTTAGACACAGGGAGGTCGTAGGTAAGATTATGCGCTCTGGAGCCAGGCTACCTGGGTTTGAGCCCTGGCTCTGCACTTTACGAGCTGCGTGACCTTGGATATGTTACTTAATCTCTCTGTCCTCAGTT